AACAGAAGGGAAGGCAACTATGAAGAATTGGTGGAAAACCTCATCAAGGCTTACAAGAACATAGGATGTAACATGTCATTTAAAATCCACTTTTTGGACTCACATTTAGACTTTTTTGTAGTGAACTGTGAGGGCAATTAGTGATGAACATGGTGAAAAGTTTCACCAAGATATTTCAACCATGGAAAAATGGTACCAGGGCAAATGGAGCACAAGAATGCTTGCAGACTGTTGCTGGACATTGGCAAGAGATGATTCTTAAGCCCACTATAAGCGTCAAACAAAAAGGTAGAAAGTAGATACGGATCAGAGTTTAAAACGTACTGACACATATTGTACGTTATAATAAAATAAAATATATACACGTTTTGTATCTTCAAACCTATAGCCAATAAGCATTTTTCAAGGTGATATTTGGATTCAGGACATGAAATTACATAAGAATTAACTATTCTCACTGGTCAAAAATTGTTGACCAGTGTAATCCGCACAGCAGATTTTTGTTGGGTTATTAATGGTTTAAGGTGATTAGTCACAGTAGATCCCAAACACAAATACCATGAGTGAGGTAAGGGTAGATTAGAGAGTGGTATAGTGTAAGTAGTGCCATTTAGGGTACATAATACTGTATTTTGGAGACGATGCCTACTGTTTTGGAGAGCAAAATGATGTCATAAGTTTCACAGTAATATGTGTGTAGGTTATTTGTGTATTGTTCCAGTCATGGTATTATGCCTTTATATTCTTTTGTTGTACAGTAAGTACTCATAAATGTTATTTGCATCAAAGTTATGCTAAAATATTAGAGGACAGTTAGCTAAAAAAAGTTATTTTACTCATTGAATGATGAGATTGTTGAGTGTGAAGGTGTGTTTAAGAGAGTTTACTGTGCATACTATGGGTGTTCAGATTACGTACTTTGTACGTTTATTTGTATGTAGCAGGTTGGTAGACAGCAACCACTCAGGGAGGTACTACCATCCTACCAAGTGAGTGTAAAACAGAAGCCTGTATTTGTTTTACATGATGGTAGGATTGCTGGTGTCTTTTTTTTTGTCTCATAAACATGCAAGATTTCAGGTACATCTTGTTACTTCTACTTACACTTAGGTCACACTACACATGCATGTACACATTTATGTATACACACTCATCTGAGTTTTCTTTGATTTTATCTTAATAGTTCTTATTCTTATTGTTTTTCCTTTCATATCCATGGGGAGGTGGAATAAGAATCTTTCCTTCATAAGCCATGTGTGTTGTAAAAGTCAACTAAAATACCGGGAGCAATGGGCTGGTAACCCATTTTCCCATATAACTTACTAACAACAAAAAGAAGAAAACCGTCAGAGTGGGATGTTTAAATGTACGTGGTTGTTGTGTGAATGATAAGAAAGAGATGATTGTGGATGTTATGAATAAAAAAAAGCTGGATGTCCTGGCTTTAAGTGAAACAAAGCTGAAGGGGGTAGGAGAGTTCCAGTGGGGAGAAATAAATGGGATTAGGTCAGGGATTTCTAATAGAGTTAGAGCTAAGGAAGGAGTAGCAATAATGTTGAAGGATAAGTTATGGCAGAAGAGGGAATATATATGTATAAATTCAAGGATTATGTAGAGTAAAATAAGGGTTGGGTGTGAAAAGTGGGTTATAGTAAGTCTTTATGCACCTGGAGAGGAGAGAAGTGTGGGAGAGAGAGAGAGAGAGAGAGAGATTTTGGGGACTGTTGAGTGAGTGCATGGGGAGTTTTGAACCAAGTGAGAGAGTACTTGTGGTTGGGGATCTTAATGCTACAGTGGGTAACAATGTTGTGGAGGGAGTAGTAAGTACATTTGAGGTTCCAGGGGTAAATGAAAATGGGGAGCCTTTAATTGAACTATGTGTAGAAAGAGGTTTGGTAATAAGTAATATATATTTTATGAAAAACAGGATAAATAAGTATACAAGGTATGATATAACACGAAATAAAGTAGTTACATTATGTATTGGTGGATAAAAGGTTGACGGGCAGGCTTCAGGATGTGCGTGTTTATAGAGGGGCAATGGATATATTGGATCATTATTTAGTTGTAGCTACAGTTAAAGTAAGAGGTAGATGGGACAAAAAGAATATGGCAACAGCAAGAAATTGAGAGGTGAAAGTGTATAAACTAAGGGAGAAGGAAGTTAGGGCGAGATATAAGCAACTATTGGCAGAAAGGTGGGCTGGTGCAAGTATGAGTAGTGGGGGGGTTGAAGAGGGATGGGATAGTTTTAAAAGTGCAGTAGTATTTGAATGTGGGGCAGAAGTTTGTGGTTATAGGAGGGTGGCTGCTGGAGGAAAGAGAAGCAATTGATTGGTGGAATGAAGAAGTAAAGGGTGTGATAAAAGAGAAAAAGGTAGTTTATGAGAGGTTTTTACAAAGCAGAAGTGATGTAAGAAGGGCAGAGTATATGAACAGTAAAAGAAAAGTGAAGATTGTGGTGAGGGAGTGCAAAAGGAGAGCAAATGATAGAGTGGGAGAGGCATTGTCAAAAATTTTTGCTGAAAATTAAAATTTTGGAGTGAGATAAACAAGTTAAGAAAGCCTAGGGAACGCATGGATTTGTCAGTTAAAACAGTAGGGGAGTTAGTTGATGGGGAATTGGAGGTATTGGGTACATGGCGGAAATATTTTGAGGAACTTTTAAATGTCGATGAGGAAAGGGAGGCACTAATTTCATGCACTAGCCAGGGAGGTATAAGATCTTTTAGGAGTGAAGAAGAGCAGGTTGTGAGTGTGGGGGAGGTGTTTGAGGCATTATGTAGAATGAAAGGGGGTAAAGCAGCGGTTGTAAATGCTGTGGCGAGGAGGCGGTTGGAGGCAGTGGAGATGTCGTGTCTAAGGGCAATATGTGGTGTAAATATTATGTAGAGAATTCGGAGTGTGGAAATTAGGAGGTGTGGAGTTACTAAAAGTATTAATCAGAGGGCTGAAGAAGGGTTGTTGAGATGGTTTGATCCTTTTGAAAGAATGGAACAGAGTAGAATGACTTGGAGAGCGTATAAATCTGTAGGGGAAGGAAGGCAGGGTAGGGGTTGTCCTCAAAAATGTTAGAGGGAGAGGGTAAAGGAGGTTTTGAGGGCAAGGGGCTTGGACTTCCAACAAGCATGCATGAGCATGTTAGATAGGAGTGAATGGAGACAAATGGTTTTTGAGACCTGATGAGCTGTTGGAGTGTGAGCAGGGTAATATTGTGTGAAGGGAATCAGGGAAACCAATTAGCCAGACTTGAGTCCTGGAAATGGGAAGTACAGTGCCTGTGCTTTAACCCTTTCAGGGTCCAAGGCCCAAATCTGGAGTCACGCACCAGTGTCTCAAGAATTTTCAAAAAAAAAAATTTGTTATTTTTTCTTATGAAATCGTAGAGAATCTTTTTGTGAAGGTAATGAAACAAAAAGTATGAAATTTGGTGGAAAATTGACGAAATTATGCTCTCGCGAATTTTGATGTGTCAGCGATATTTACGAATCGGCAATTTTGCCGACTTTGACTCCCATTTTAGGCCAATTACATTATTCCAATCAACCAAATTCTTAGCTATTTCACTAGTATTACTTCTATTCTATCGATTGAGCACAAGAAATCGCCAAGTCAACTGTTTCAACTACAAAATAAAGTGATCGGAAATTGTTAATTTGGCCAATTTAACACAAAGTTCAAAATATTCCAATTTCAAAATAGGGTCCAGAATGAACAATGTAGGCATTCCTGGCACTAAACTAACATTTCCTCTGTTCATTAGTTATGTTTTGAGGCTTTACAAATAAATTCCATTTTGATTTTTTATTCACATAATGAATTTTTATTCACACCAAAAAATAGAAGATTTACTGTTATGCAATACTGTAATAATTGTATAAATATCATCACCATATTTGTGAATGTATATTAGACCCACCAGCTGGCGTGTATTAGACATGTGAGGTCGTTTGTTTACTCTTGAATATCGGCAAAAATTTAACATTTCTGCTACTTTGAGCTCAGTTTCAAGCCATTTCCAGTGCTAAAACCAATCAAAATCATCTTTATTTCTGTAATATGTCTTCCATTCTATCAAATGAGACCAAGAAATCGCAAATACAACTATAAAAAACATACGAAAAAACACTGCAAAGTTGCTGTTTTAATCGAAAAATCATGATTTCATTTTTTTTCTCTCATTATACACAGTGTGCTGCAGGATCTGTTTTATGTGGTGCACACATACCACATAGATGTATTCTCTCATATCTAGGCCCAAATGTACCACTCACAGTTTATCAGAGTGAGCTGAGCTCATGGCGTAGATCTATGGTTTGGACCCTGAACGTAAAGCCGTAGATCTACGGGACGGACCCTGAAAGGGTTAAAGGAGGGGTTTGGGATATTGGCAGTTTGGAGGGACTTCTAAACTGTCATATCTGAGCGCCTCTGCAAAGACAGTGATTATGTATGAGTGATGGTGAAAGTGTTGAATGATGATGAAAGTATTTTTCTTTCTTTTTGGGTCACCCTGCCTCGGTGGGAAATGTCTGATGTGTTAAAAAAAAAAATTAGAAAATTATATATTAATATGAAATAGTCATTATCATCATTATGAAGTGTGAATGAAAAAAAATGTCAGTTTTGTAGGCGTGAAATGCTTGTTCTCCTTGACCTACACTGAGTACCATAATGTTTCATTTTAAGGAAGCAGATAACATGTTATTTGGAGTTTTTATCATTTTTAGTAACCTTTTTTGAAAATAATGTGGTATCCCAAGCTTCAGCCATAATTCGTTCCAGAAGGCTGTTCGAGTGCTGTTACTGAACGAATTTGTTCCCATAATGAATAATATGAGTTAGATTAGTCTGTTTCAGATCCCCAAAAATACACTTACAAAGCACTTACAATAATACATAACTGTTTGAGTTGGGAGCTGTACAAAACTCAGGGTACCACTGTATTTTCAGTGGAAATTAATTATTTTAGTGTTAACCCTTAATTCTCTTACTTTCAGTTTGGGAAAGACTGATGGCACGGAACCAGGTTGATTGGTATCGCTGGTTAAGTGGTGCATCATTGGTACTGCTTGTGGCAGATCTTGCACTTAATTCCATTTTCCAAGTCTTTTCACATAATACACTGTTGACCCTCCTTATTTACATGTAAGTTTGCAGATGCATTTAACATTTTATATTTCATCAAGGTTTCTCCATTTAGATTAGGTCATTTATTATTATTATTACATTTATTATTATTATTATTATTATTATAATTATTATATTATTATTATTATTATTATTATTATTATTATTATTATTATTATTATTATTATTATTATTATTATTATTGCATTGAAGTCTCTAATTAACAGACTAATAGTGGGAGGGGGTTGTAAGTTATTGCCAGTTTCCCATTGTTTCTGAATTATGAAATTTGTTTTTCATGATGGTTTTAGAGAGACTGCTGGATACAGAGAACACTGTAACTTGTAAAACAGTAGAGTGAGACTGTGAGAGAGGGAAAGTGAGAATGAGTGTGAAGGAGGGTGGGCTATTAACTTAGTCTGCTCATAATGCCGTGGCATGATAGTAGGGTCTGCCTACAACTCATTATTGTAACTAAAGAATCTCAATGTAAACTTGCAGAGAAATAAAAATTGTATTGTATTGTATGGGTGGGTGTGATGATAGGTGGGTGTGAGGGTGGATGGGAGTGTGAGGGGTAGGGTATGTGAGTGGGTGGAAGTGGAAAAGGGAGGGCAAGCAGAGGTGGCAAGTGTGGGTAGTAGATATGACAGGATGGGTGGGCGAGAGGTGGTTGGTTATGAAAGAGAGTGTGAATGTGGGTGGGTTGATTTCTAATGATTTATTAAACAGTGTTGCGAAGGTGAGTGAAAACACTGAGCTGCTTTGTTTTTTGTACAACATGTAACCTACATTTTGTAATACGTACTGTAGAAAGAAATGAAATTTGTTTGCTGTTAGTGGTTAGTGTTGCTTCATGCCTTGTTATCAAAATTTATTTTCAAGGAGACCTCAGTAGGATTATATTACATTTTGAATTCATAAATGAGTTCAATTCACTTTTTCAACTTGACAGTATTTTTTTTTTAATTAGTTATAACCTGTCTCTTTATTTTTTATGTTCCTGTTAACCCTTTCAGTGGCTGTCACATAGATCTGCATTATTAATAACAGGGTCCCACACATAGATCCCTGCATAAATTCTAGCAGTTTCAGATTTGGCGTGAGAGGCCTGGGAGGCTTACATATGAGAGAACAGGTCTGCATGGTCCGTGTGCAGCGAGGACACAAAGGCCTCACTCCCAGGCGAATTGAACTAGTTTTATTACTCAGTGACAAGAATAAAATATTTTTTTTATGTGGATACAGAGAGCAGTTTTAACCCTTTGACTGTTTCGGCCGTATATACAGTATACGTCTTTCGACCAGTGTTACGGTTTATAACAGGGCCCCCCCGGTTAAGTTTTTAACCCGTGAAAGAGGGCTCAGTTAGCGAAATAATGTATGCGAATGAATTTTCCCCCTAAAAATAAGGAAATCAAATTAAACCGTGCAAGACGCCCAAAATAGAAAAAAATTTTTTTTTTTTCCCTGAAATGTTAATTTTAATACACACAAACTGAAAAAGGCATGCACAATTAAAGACACTTCTTTTTTTTGAAGATCTGGTGTGATTGATGGGGTGGGGAGGGGAGGCATTATTTCTTTGTTTAGAAGGGGGGAAACCCCTCCATTACGACTTGAGTAGCAATTTCCTTTTCCCGGGGTTACTTCCTTCTTTTTTTAATGCCCCTAGACCAGCTTTAGAGTCACTGGACCTCTGTGCCAACAAATCTGCCATTGAGCCTGTACCTCCCTTTTCCCTTTTCGATTTGTCTAAAAAGGGGACAACTTGTCATTGAAAAGTACCAGCCGGGTGCAACGCTGTGTCAGGGTGATTTTTATCTATAAAAAGGTTGCATTCAAACCCTGTGCACACATTTCCTTAATTTTTGAAGTGGCACAAAGGATTCCACAATGGCATAGGCTTCCAGGGTTTCCCAAAAACCCCTTTAAAATCTTTTTTTAATTCCATACAAAATTTTCACCCTTTTTACCACGGGGTTGGGACTAGAAGTTTTTTGGGGCCCATGGCCTTTTTTTCCAGAAACAGCACCGAAAATATGTAAAAATTAGAAATATTCCGAGTGTTGCTTGGGTGTTACCGCGAGGCTGGCTGAAACAATGGGACGGAGCGGCCAGTGAGGTGGCTGGGGCCCTTTACGCGTCTCGGCAAAAGGTATGGGGTTTTTAAACGGTATGCGCGGCAAAAATTTTTTCGATAAAAAATAATCGTATGCGGAAAAAAACGCTATGCGATGCCACGTTATGCGGGGTCCACTGTATACCAAAATTTGGGGCTCAAAACAAACAGAAAAAGTGGTAGGCCCCCATGTGGGAAATGGGTCTGTGTGGGCAGGTGTGCTTATAAAAAAAAAATCCGCAGCAGTCAGTAAATTGAAAAAAAAAGCCTCTGTGTTTTTTGGAAAAAACCCCAAAATTTTGAGGTGTATTTTCGTTTGCTTTTTGGGTATTTCATTTTCATGGTCTCATTTGATAGAATGGAAAACATATTAAAGAAATAGTGGTGATTTTGATTAGTTTCATGATGAAAACGACCTTGAAATTGAGCTCAAAGTAGTGGAAATGTTCGATTTTTACCAATGTTCAAAAGTAAGCAAATCACACTACATGTCCAATACACGTCAACTGGGGAGTCTAATATTCTTTCACTAGTGCACTGATATTATTTATACCATTTTTACAATAATGCAGTAGTCTGTAATATAATAAATCTTCTATTTTTTTGTGTGAATAAAAAATAAAAATATAAAGCAAGAGGAATATAAGAGGGGCCTGGAGACATGACTAATGAACAGAGGATATGTTATTTTAGTGCCAAGAATGTCTGCATTGTTTATTCTGGACCCTATTTTGAAATTGGCATCTTTTTTAATTTGTGTAAAATTGGCCAAATTGCCAATTTCTGACCACTTTATTGGGTAGTTGAAATTGGTAAATGGACAGTTTCTTGTACTCAATCGATACAAAAGTGGAGTTCTAAAGAAATTGCTATGAGTTTGGTTGACTAGAACACTTTTGGTGTCATTACTATCGGGAAAAGTACGAAATTTGATCCAACACTTATGGAATTACGCTCCCGCAAAGTTAATGATCTCGGCAATATATACGCATCGGCGATTTTGCCGACTTTGAGCCCTATTTTCAGCCAATTCCACTGTTCCAGTCGACCAAATTCATAGCTATTTCTTTAGAGCTCCATTTGCTCTATCGATTGAGTAAAAGAAACCGCCCAGTTACTGATTTCAACTACCCAATAAAGTGGTCAAAAATTGGCAATTTGGCCAATTTCACTCAAATTAAAAAATATGCCACTTTCAAAATAGGGTCCAGAATGAACAATGCAGACATTCCTGGCTCTAAAATGACATTTTATTTGTTCATTAGTCATGTCTCCAGGCCCCTCTGATATTACTCTTGCTTTCTATTTTGAGTTTTTATTCAAACAAAAAATAGAAGATTTACTGTTATGCAGACTACTGCAATATTGTAATAATTGTATAAATAATGTCAACCCATTCATGGCTGCATATTAGAATGGCTAGTTGGACATTTATTGGACAATGACATCATTTGTTTACTCTTGAACATTGGCAAAAATCAAACATTTCCCCTACTTTGAGCTCCATTTCAAGGTCCTTTTCATAGTAAAACCAATCAAAATCACCTCCGTTTCTATATATGTTTTCCATTCTATCAAATGTGACTACGAAAATGAGAATAACACCATAAAAACTATACAAAAATACACCTCAAAGTTGGCATTTTAATCCAAAAACACGGTCGGAGTTTTTTTTTTTTCTCATTATGCACTGCTTGCTGCAGGATTTTTTTATACTGCACACACTGACCACACAGACTCATTCTCTCACATGTGGGCTTACCAACTTTGTCCTGCTTGATTTGAATCCGCTAGAATTTTTGAGTACATATGCATCAAACACATTGGCTCATAAGACGTATATATACGACCGAAACAGTCAAAGAGTTAATTATGGGGTTTTGGATATTGAAAAGGTTAATACCATGTATAGACTTGTTAAGAATAATAAATCAAACTATGTAGTTCTTATAGCCAGATTGTTCTGCTCAAAATGCTGTGCATACTCTGGGTGTTCTGATTATTGTGCAGTAGACTGTCGATTAACACTGTCCTCTACCACATTTTCTTTATTATGCTGTTGTAAAATTGTGGCATATTTTTTGATTAACACTTCATAAAATTTGACTAACACAGTGCCACTTCTGGGACAAAATTTGGAGTGCCACAAGCTGGACCGCAGGATTTTCCCCTCCATCTAGTGGGCTCGCAGGCAGCCTGTCTGTGGGTTAGTCCATTGTCATTGTGGGGGGTGCCTAGCTTTCTTCCATCCCACCTCTTATTGGACCATACATACGTGTCCCATACAATTCTCAGATCTGTGTTTGTGATAAAATTAGTTGTTCCTGCATACCAGTAAATACATGCAGTGTTTTCATATCAATATGTCACTTTATCTGCTTTTTTTTCTTTATCCTAAGTAATTTACACTATGTACGACAAGTGTATTTATGTGTACCTGTGCCTAAATCAACTTAGTTTAATATCTTTATTATGCACCCCATACCCATCCTGTGGGCAGTAGTCAAAAGATTACAGAGGTACATAATGGGTCCAGGGACTGGGCCCCAAAGTTATGATAGCTGAACTAGTTACAAAGGTAATGAACTCCGGGTAGATCTGGTCACAATCATGGCAAGTTACAAAGGTAATGAACCATCTACACTCCTATACATGGTTACAATCATGAACAAATTACGAAGTAGTGAACTTACTGTGCTGAAATGTGAGCTTGCTGGAGACAGTGTTTATATACAAATTGAGAGGGCAGACATGAACTGCACCTGTCCATGAGAGGGACTCTGTGCTTATATACCTTTTGTTTATCTTCCTTTAATAATAATAATAATAATCTTTATTTCTACAAGTACATGTACAAGGTGTACAGGTCTAGCCGATCAATGATATACTACAAAATGCGATTCACACCAGTTGGCTAATGCCCAGGTACCTATTTTACTGCTAGGTGAACATGGACAGCAGGTGTCATAAGGAAATACCTTCTAATGTTTCCACCCATACTGGGGATTGAACCATTAACCTCAGTGTGTGTGATGAGTGAGCTACTAGTCAAGCTACGGTACACCTCGGCATAATAAAGGTTAAAAAATGAAAGGAACCTGGATGTAATGTGTATACAGTACCTACTTTATATATATATATACAGTGGAACCTCAAAAATCGAACTGCTCCCAACACAACCAATTATGTAAGTGTATTTTTGTAAGTGCTTTTATAAGTGTATTTTTAAGGGTCTGAAATGGACTAATCTAATTTACATTATTCCTGATGGGAATAAATTCATTCGGTAAAGGCACTCGAACAGACTTCTGGACTGAAGAAAGTTTGATATTTGAGGTTCCACTGTATTTTTGTGCATCGGTTTAGTTTTTACACTCGTACATGTATTGTAGTAAAGAAACTAGGATGTGTGTGAGGGTTTGTGACTGTGTTGGTGTTGAGGGCAAACAACCTATGAGCATCCCACCTACCCTTCCTTATTCTGATATTTTTATTATTGCAAATGCAAGGGAAATTATAATACTATTATTATATTTATTGTAATAAATTTATTAATATGTAATACAGTGGTACCTCGGGATACGAACAGCTCTAAATGCGAACAATTATGTAAGTGCTTTTGTAAGTGTATTTTTGGGGGTCTGAAACGGATTAATCTAATTTACATTATTCCTTATGGGAACAAGTTCATTCGGTATCAGCACTTGAACAGCCTTCTGGAACGAAATAAGTTCGTATCCTGAGGTACCACTGTATATAGTTTATATTTACAAAAAGCATTCTGGTAATTTCACAGCAGTGAGAGATACAACAGCCCTGGGGCCATCACAGCCTTTAACCCAACAGTATTAACGTGCTGATAGCCTTGAAAAGCTTTTCTCGAGATTTTATTTTTTTTCATGTTTTCTTGGATAGCTTGCATTTATATTATGATGGTTATTACTCTGTATACATTTATTTAGTAAAACATCATTTCTTAGCCAGTATGCTATGGTATTTTTTACTGATATGTATGAACAATTTCTATACATAGTAAAGTGGTTTAAAGTTTTTGATTGCAATGGAGAGGTAGCTGTCAAATAAGCTAGTGGTATAAGAAACAGTTGACATTTACCTGGAAGATGTTTTGGGGTAAGCGCCCCCATGAGCATTGATCAACCAGGCTGTTATTGCTGGCTGCATTCAATCCAAGATACAAACCCCAGTGCATCTAGTCTGGTACAGACTTTAGGTGCATCAGGTTTAAGAAATGTATTTTAACCCTTTGATTGTTGCAAGCCCCTTTCTGAAACTGTCATTCTATGTCGAAAATTTTTTGGCAAAAAAAAAATTATTTTTTCTTACAAAATGATAGAGAATCTTTTCCTGATGGTAATGACGCCAAAAGTACAAAATTTGATCGAAAACTTACGGAATTATGCTCCTACGAAGTTAGCGATCTTGGCGATATATACGCATCAGTGATTTCGCCGACTTTGAGCCTTATTTTCGGCTAATTCCATTGTTCCGGTCGACCAAACTCATAGCTATTTCTTTAGAACTCCATTTTTTTCTATCAATTAAGTACAAGAAACCGCCTACTTGCCGATTTCAACTACCCAATGAAGTGGTCAGAATTTGGCAATTTGGCCAATTTCACACAAATTAAAAAAAGATGCCAATTTCAAAATAGGGTCCAGAATAAACAGTGCAGACATTCTTGGCACTAAAATACCATATCCTCTGTTCATTAGTCACGTCTCCAGGCCCCTCTTATATTACTCTTGCTTTCTGTTTTGATTTTTTATTCACATAAAAAATAGAAGATTTACTGTTATGCAAACTACTGCATTATTGTAAAAATGGTCTAAATAATATCAGTGCGTTAGTGAAAGAATATTAGACTCCCCAGTTGATGTGTATTAGACGTTTGGTGTAATTTGCTTACTCTTGAACATTGGTAAAAATCGAACATTTCCACTACTTTGAGCTCAATTTCAAGGTCGTTTTCATCGTGAAACTAATCAGAATCATCTCTATTTCTGTAATATGCTTTCCATTCTATCAAATGAGACCAAGAAAATGAAAATACACCTCAAAGTCGGCGTTTTAATCCAAAAACACGGTCAGAGTTTTTTTTCTCATTATGCACTGCGTGCTGCAGGATTTTTTTTTTATACAGCACACACTGACCACACAGACCCATTGTCTCACATGTGGGCCTACCAGCTTTCTTCTGCTTGATTTGAAGCCGCTAGAATTATTGAGTATATATACGTCCGAAACACTGGCTCGTAAGACGTATATGTACAGCCGAAACAATCAAAGGATTAACAGTGTTTTAGAAGCTATTGGAAGATAGTTTTTTGATCCTTCAAGTATGTTATTCTAAATTTGGAGTCCTTTGATTTGCATAGTGCATTTACTCAGGTTACATCATCATACACATGGAATATCAGAGGTATTTATTCCTAGTGTTATGCCTATGTGATTGTTGCAGCTCTCCAGCAATGTTGTAGCTCAGCTTTCATTTATATTGAGTGTTGTGAGTGTCATATGCGCAGTAGTATTTATGGATCCTTTGTACGTGCATTAATTAGGTTCCAGCATTTTAATAATTTATGTAATTCATTGTATAGGATCAACAAGTACCAGAGTTAGAACTGTGTGCCCAGCATTAATGAAAGTGTATTTTCTTTTATGTTGCAGCATACAAGATGTGTGTCTGGTCTTCTCACTCATCATACTTTTTCTGGCTTTGTTTTCTACAACTCTTTCTCAGGTATACTGTATAGTATTGCTTTTTAGTAGATGTCATTATTATTATTATTGCATTATTATTATAATCATATTAAGTGCTGAACCCACATGGGCCACACTGTGCTGCTATTATTGATGTACATATTATTGTTTTTATTATTATTCTTATATTCTTGGGAAAGCATTAAACCTACAAGAATTATACTGCATTTGGAATAAGAGGCAATTGTTTAATCCAAGGAAAGGAAGAATAACTCCAATTCCTTTGCTTATGGTAATGAAAATTGTGTATACAAATACAATACATCCAGCAAATGCGCATGAGCATGTTAGATAAGAGTGGATGGAGGCAAGTAGTTTTATGACTTGACATGCTGTTAGAGTGTGAGCAAGGTAACATGTATGAAGAGGTTCAGGGAAACCGGTTGCCAAATTTTGAGTCCTGGAGGTGGGAAGAAGTGCTTGCACTCTGAAGAAGAGGTAAGGATATTTTTAAGTTTTGATCAGTAGTATCAGTGCCCCTCTGGCAAGACAGTGATGGAGTGAATGATGGTGAAAGTTTTCTTTTTTTTTTTTTGAGCCACCCTACCTCGGTGGGAGATGGTTAGTTTGTTTAAAAAAAATACAGTGCAAATACAAAGTATTTGTGTTTGTAATCCAAGGAAGGGAAGAACAGCTCCAAGTCCTTGGATTATGGTAATGAAAATTGTGTATGTTGCTGATAAAATTACTAAGTGTCAGTAATTATTATAGAGTATACCAGACTAAGTATGGCTGTGCAGCGAGCGTAACATGAAAAATTTAAAAGTTCCTGATCTCGATGTGTCCAGTTCAGTGGGGCAAGATTATATAATGATCAGTATACTGAATCACAAAATTAATTTTACATGAGCCAAGTTTTTTGATCCAGGTATACATGTTTGCCTTGGAATCATGTAATGATCAGTCTTCTTTTGGAGTTCATAGGAGGCAAACTGCTTAATCATTGCCTCTGGTCAGTCTCTTTATATTTGGTAGAAATTTAGACATCAGAATACTCTAGGAAATATGTAAATATGCATTGTGTTCTTTAAAGTTTAAATGTAATTTATTTTCTTACAGGCTGGCCTTATTGGTGAGTTGCTCCAAAAGTTCCAGTGGTGTATTCTTGTGGCAATAACTTACCTGGGCTTATCAATAGGTCTACACTCCTGGTCACTAGAACAACAATGGCAGAAACCTGAGCTGTATATTTGGACTCATGGAATGGTTTCTTTCTTTATCATTCAGAGAGTAGGTAAGCTAGACTGAATTTTTTTTATAATTAAATCATTATCACAGTATATTTATGGAGAAGTGATAAACCTGTGTGGATCATTCAGTGCTGCACAGCAAGGAAAAGACTGGACAGTAGAGGGAGTGGTTAGAAAGGTTTTTTTTCTTTTTTCCTTTACACATATCAGTTTTATAGACTAAGATCCGTTACCCTACCTCATCTCATTTCTGAGCCCAGCCCTCTAAGGTATACTTCCACCCCCTGGGATATGACCCACAACAGTCAACTAATCCTCAGGTACCTACATACTGCTAGGTGAACAGGAGCAGCAGGTGTAAGGAAACATGCCCCAGATTTCCACTGATGCCACTGATTGAACCACATACACTCAGTATGTGAGCTAAATGTTCTACCAACTGAAACAGTCATTGAGAGAATCTGAATTAAAGGTGGGACTGCCAGAGAGAAGGGCAAGTAAGAATGTCAGGGCATTGAAGAGAAAGTAAAAAATGAAGGGTGCATACCCTCGGATGAAGGCGACAAGGAATTAAAAGATGCTGGATATCAACACATCCTGACAATTCTCAAGTTGTGCACAAGAATTGTTACACAAGAGCACTGGTTCTCACAGTCAACCTGACTCTCTCATTGACTTCTTGACAATGACTGATTTACTCCACAAGCTCTGATGATGATACCTTTCGCACTCCCCTCAGCCCTTTCTACCTCAGTCTCTTGCTGCCCTCTACCCTTTCACCATCCACTGCCCTGCTGTTCTCCATAACCTATTACTCATCCATCTCCCTTTTGCCACCTGATACCCTCGCTTCCTTCCTGCCCTGCAGCGCTGTATAGCCCTTGTGGCTTAGTGCTTCTTTTTGATTATAATAATAATAATCTCACAGTCAACAGTGATAAAGAGATATTGTACTTAGATTTACATCATTGATGCTAGTGTTGCTTATGTAGATCTATGCCTTCAGCACAGCACTCTCTCGTAGGCTTGTGAGTGTTCAGTTTTGGCCTAGACATAAGAGAATGAGTCTGTGTAGTGAGTGTGCACAGTATAAAAAAAAATCCTGCCTCATGCAGTGTGTGATGGGAAAAGCAAATATCTGACCTTGTGTTTGGCTTAAAGTTGTGACTGTGAAGTGTTTTCTAGGGTGGTTTTTATGGTTTTATTGGCTGTTTCTTGGCATCAATCAGCAGAATGAAAGAATACTAGCAAAGTACAGGTAATTTTCGTTAGTTTTAGACCAGAATTATGGTGAACCCTCTCATTAATAGGAGGGATGGGGTACGCAGTATTGCTGATTTTCCAAAACTCCCAAATTATGAAATTTTACATGATCATTCAGTTGTCTTCTAAACCAACAGACTTGGTCCACTGATGCAGAAGACAACCTGACACTTAAGATTATGAGCATTGTAACCTGTAGCACTACTACAGTAAAGTGCTGCTGTGTTATTTATTCTGAGTTAAAGGAGCAGTAAAGCTCTACCATTGGGAAAATAATGTAGATGGCACTGAGAAGACATAGATGGCTGAGAACACACAGATGCTTAGAAAACATAGATGGATGAGAAGACATAGATGGCTAAGAAGGCATAGATGACTGAGAAGACAGAGGCTGAGAAGGCATAGATGGTTGAGAAGGCATGATGGCTGAAAAAGATTTGATGGGTTGAAAAGTGTTTAAAGAACGGGTTTAAAGAATTATCTAGTTCAGTTGCTCATCACATTGATGCTGGTCCCTTTTGATACATTCTCTAAGAATTTGTAATAGGATAATGGGTATTCACTTACTTTCATTGGAGAGGTCAGTGTACTCGATTAGAACTTAAATTGCATCTTGTACAAAAGACAGCTTTGGTAACCTCATAGTCTTTCTTTGTCATTCATCACTATCCATTTTTGTGCCAAGAGACTCCTTTGCAATTTCTGGTAATCAGGTCACCAGCATTTTCTTTGACCATGGTATCACAATTTCCTCTGAAAACTATTTCCCCAAACCCCTCTAAAGGGTACAAAGAAATCACTTGCCTCCACCCCCTCAAAGTCCAACTCAATATCAAGGCTATATAACAGTTTTTTTTTTCCCTGTCTTTAGGTAATGTCCTTTTCATTTCCTTCAGTGACACCACAAGGTTGAAGATGGCAGACTTCAAGTTATACCTTTTGATTTTCAACATACTTGGACCTCTGGTGTGTCCTTCCAGTTCTTTATCCACTTCAATCACTGCCAGTGCCTCATCTATGTACCTAGACTGGCACAGCCTCTTGCAGGCTGCATTAATCCAGTGACCCATAGGTTGTATCTGGGAGGGTGGTATTAGGGGACAAACATGACCTTAATTTTTATCATCTGTGCTGCTTATATTTTCCCCCCCTTGGGTGAACAGGTACAATTCCTTTTGGTCTGAGCTCAGATGTGATTTAATGGTGATAGTAATGTAACCATTAATATCCAGAAAACCACCCAGACCAAATCTGGGATTGGCAGGAAGATGCATATTTTGTGCTTAATCCCAATCAGTTTGATGACACATTGGAATTTGCCTAACTTTACCCTGGGGAATGAATTTAAATTTTTTGAAATGTATTTCAGTGAGTGCTGATGAAAATTGTAGTGAGGGAAACCAATACATACTTTAAGTATACAATGGTAAACATGTTAGTTTTGCCACAATCATGGCTATACCAGTGGGGGACACAACTTTGGCTGAGATGCATCTTGTCACAATAATACTTATGCCACATTCAATATATGGCCAGTTGATTACCTAATTTCTTTCCATTTTCCCAGTGATCTCATCCCCATCAACAGATTTATCTTGCTACTACATATGCTAATAATTCTCAGACACGAGGCCTGACAGGAATAACATGTTACACAAGATCAGAAATGTTTTTGTATTTGAAACAGAAGTTCATTGTGTATTTTTATCCCCTCAAGGAAGGGTTCCTTGATGTTGGTGAGGGGCTCTTGATTTAGGGAATTGGATCTGTGCTCCAGTTCTCGAATTAAGCCTGAATGCCTTCCACATCCTCCCACAGGCGCTGTATAACCCTCGGGTTTAGCACTTCCCCCTTGATTATAATAATAATGTGTATTTTTATCCCTTCAGGAACCTTGTCATTGACAAGTCTTTGATCCTTTTAAGGGGTTTGGGACTGTCGTTCAAGCAGTTTTATACCAAGCAAGGGGGAAACACTTTGGTACTGAGTGTTCATGTTGTGTAATTTTTTTTTAAAAAACCCGGCTTGGTATTGGATCTTATTTGTGAACAAAAAGCAAAACATTGAAGGATAACGGGAAGCTATTGGGAATCTCAGTGGGGTCTATGTTAATTAACCTCCCTATGGTGTATCGAAATATACCTAGTTGGATGAATCTTACTACAGCCAGCTGGCCCAGTGGTTAACACACTGGCCTGTGAGTTTAGGATTCAAGCCCCACTCATTCTGTGATTCGCTGCAGTCTTGTTAGTATTATGATTTCATGAGTCATGATGGCAGTTTTGAAGGAACTTGAGTATGCCACAGCCATGCTGGTGTGGGATTCTTCTGTCAAAACCTGCATTCATGGTCACACTGGGGCCCATGCTAACTTGTGTAAAAATAAAAAATACATATACATAGTTGGATGAATCATATTAAAACCAGCTGGCCAAGTGGTTAACACACTGGTGATTTCACCCACCCAGCTTTACATCTCTCTTCACTCCTCCACTATACTTGTTTTGCTTGCTCTTTTCTGAGAATTAATAAAAGTCCTTGGTGGAAGAATGTTTTCTTCAGTAAAGTGCCATAAACCACACAGTATCTTGTTTCCAAATAGTTGATGTGAAAGAATTTGACAGAAGTGGACCTCCGCAATCCTTCCATATACAGGATAGTCACTGATATTACTAGACATTCTTTATTTGTTCATTGCCCGTTTACTTTGTCCCTTTTCTCTTTGCCTACGTTAACTCGCCTTCTCTTCAGTTACCACCTTTCTATGTTCATGTAGCTTCTCACTGTTCCACTCTGTGAGAATTGTTAGGTTCCAGTATCTGTCAGCCATATTCTGTTGGACTGCCCCCACTATCAATGAGCACGCAGTATTTACCTCCAATGTTGTCACCGCTCTACTGCCCTTACCTCTTCAAGGGGGGGCTCCTTGTTGTGGTGAAGAGGCTCTTGGTCTGAGGAATCAGACCTGTCGGTCTCCTTCCTCAGACCGAACCAAATTCCCCCCCAATCCCCCCCTCCCTATCCCATCCTCGCTTTTTTCTTTCCCCCCCACCCCTCCCTTTTCCCCTTCCTCTTTTTGGCCTTTGGGATTTCCCCCACAGGCGCGCTAGTCCTAGGTAGGGGAAAGGATACGGGGGTCCATCCCTTTCCCGTTGAGGTTCTTGGCAGTGGCGTAGTTTCCCGGGTGGAATTCTGGATCGCCTAAGGATGTCCCGATCCCTCTCCGGTATCCCGGAAGTAGCTTTGGGTGTCTTTCGGGGCGAGGGGTGTGTCTCTGGAAGCCACCTTTCAGATTCTGGGGGGTGGTGGCCAAAGGAGGTATGCTTTGTGGCGGATATCCGGCCGCCCTCTCTTTTGTCCACCGAGGTTAGCTCGGCAGATGTGAGGTTGCTATCCCGGATTGTGGTTTACTGGCATGAAGGGTAGGGTTTTGGCACGGGTTCCATGCTGCATTCTGGTGCTTACTAAACGGTGCTGGGTCCTCTTGGGCACGGAGGGAGATTTCTGGCCCTTTCATTCCTCCTGGGACTTTCTCCCCGCTCCCCCCTTTTTTTATTCTTTTTTTTAATTTTATTTTCTTTTCTTCTTTCTTTTTTTTTTCTTAAAACAAAAAGCAAAGGAGTAACCTAACCATGGAGAACCCAATCCCCTGAACCCACTACCCCGGGCCCCTTCTTGATACCGCACCCCATTCTGACCCTGCCTTGTTTTTTTGACCACTCTTCGGACACTCCTGTGCCCCTGTACCTCTTGCTGGTGCTGTTTCCTCACCCGTTCAGGT